CCAGATGGATGGAGGAGAGTCGCCGGGAGACAGGCGACCCCCAGGATCCCGATCAGGAGAGAGCAGAGTGGAGGCAGAGCGAGGGGGGCCCAACTCCGGCAATCTGGTGTACACCTCTACCCCGGCAATCTACGATAATCTTCGGCAATCTTTAGGTAATCGGCTGCAAAAGCCATGCTTTCTGCCTACATTCAGGGAGACATCAGTGCGTTTTGCTTAGTTACAGCGGTTTATGCCCTTAAAGCTTATTCGTCAACCAATCGTACATCCTACAAGAGAGTTCAACCCCCGCCAACTCAATGTTAAAGCTTTGTCCGTTATCTCCGCGCGGCTTCCGTACTGCTACCTTTTGGACAGCGAAATTCCCAACTTTTGTCCCGCACTCCGAAACGAAATTCCCCGCACGAATTCCGAAGTGAAAATATCTTACGGCTGCCGGGCGGAGTCGACCCCACGACCATCGGGCCCGGGGCCCGCTCGGTACCGCGGCGCTGCCGAAGAGTTGTTGTTGCTCGATCGGAGCCGAGGAATCAGTTTCTGCTCAGATCGGCTGCTTTCAAGTATGCCAACGATTGAATGAAAAAAGGGCCGGAAATGGCATCCGATTATCTATTATCCCTGCATTTCTGACCTTTTTTAACAATTGGGATATGTTATTCCATACACGCGTCATATGTTGGAGTGCTAATCTAGCAGTTTGAAACTAGCCCATCACGACAACCGACCCGACAAATTTTTATGCTAAAAACTGGTAGTACCGGAGGCCGCGCCAGGTGAGGGGGGGTCGGGGAGGACGCAGGCGCCTTATGGGCGAGAGGGTACGCTCAGCCAGTTCCACGGTCCTAGCTCTTATTCTATCAAGTTAAGAGGGTGGGGGTATTGGGGGTAATTTGCAGCCCAAAGTTCAGGCTGTCCAACGCTGCAATTGTCAAGCCGATTAGACCCATACAGTCCGAACGGGAGAGAAAATAACGTAGCCAACAACGGTAGAGGGGCTGTCAAAATAAGATACGGTTTGGCCGACCGACCGACCGACCGACCGACCGACCGACCGACCGACCGACCGACCGACCGACCGACCGACCGTTAACCTCGGAACGACCAGGACGACTGAAATATCGTGT